ATCGAAATGTTTGTTATGTTCACATCATGCGTTTGACCCAAGGACCATCTTTGCCCCACGCCATAGCCTTGGCGCACGGCGCGCCTACATCTGGCCGGGACTCGCGCCCAATCCGTAGCCGGCACTCCTCGAAGAAGCGTGGTCTCGTTGTCATCAAGAATGAGATCAGCCAACGCCTTGCAGGAAGTCGTCGACGTCCAACACAACCAGTCCAGCGCAGCTACGGCGATTCTCCGGGTTCTCCTTCAAAATATAGGGCAAGAAGCAGAGAGGCAAGGGTCATTCGTTGACTCCTTGTACCCAACTGCAAGGACACGACGGACTGTCTTCCGCCAGATCGCCGGAGCATTCACCAATCCGTACACCGCAGTCAGCACCAGGACGACGAAGTCTTGATCTCGGCCAAGGATTCTTGAAGGTGGCACGCTGGCACAGAAAGGACATCCATTTTCGTACTGATCGGACTGTCCACAGGCACGGCTAGCATCCATGATCACCAGCTGATACTTCAAGCTGCTAAGGATCTGGAAAGCCAAGAGCGAAGCCTGAACCTGGATGGCAAAATTCTATGGCCGAACGCAGCCTTATTTTTCCTGATCTCCTAATGGCACTCGAACCCTGACAGTTGTTGATCTCGTTCAATTTTTCCTCCGAACATGCCGTGAGTGTTCGCTCGTGGATATCTTTCCCGGACTTCTTGGTCAGGCAAATCCATCCAGAAAGCAGCTCCTAGCACGCGTAGAAAAGCATTGGTCTTGACAAGCTTCTCAAACATGTTCAAGTCGCGGCTGTTGGCAATCACCGGAAACTTCCTCTTGTCGTTTCAGGGGGTCACCACATCAGCGACCCACATCCCACCAACCTTGGACTTGGGCTGAGCTTGGCTGCGAATTCCGGAACCATCATGACCTCGCTTGAACCACGATCAACCCAGCGGCGAACGCACGTCGAAGGCATTGGCATTGGCGATTCGAATTGGAATGGGCAGGGCGCTCCTGAGACCAAACTTGAGACCTCCCAAACCTTGCGGAATTCGACTCTGCAACATGTCTAGTGTCACGCTCCCCATCTCGGTAAGCAAGTAAGCAGGAAGAAGACAAGGCACAGGACCAGGAACAATTTGAACACGGGGCAGGCCAGAACATCCTCCAATCCCGACTGGGATGTAGGCGACTGGAGCTTTCTCCTCGGAACCACACACACCCCTGACAGTCCCACCGCCCTCGTTTGAATATTGCACCTGCATGCCAAAAGTTGCCAACAAATGTTGATCCAACTCGGACAAGGTCTCTTGCCACACCAACCGATGCTGCCCGGCTGTGTCAACAAGCGCTCTTCTGCCATCTCCGCGGCAACAAACACTGTAGGCCATGACTGGACACTTGAGGCTGGTCAAGTCCCTGCAAGGGATCAGCACGAACAAGGTGGAGAGGCTGCAACTCCTGGACCCTAAGTCGGAACAGACGCTGGCACTGGCGCTGTGCCTGCTGCGCGTGGTCTACGCGGTTTATGTCGTCTCTGATCTCTGTCACCTGCTGAGCAGCGACCAGCTGTCTTTCTTCAATGCTACCGATGCGCCGATGCAACTGGAGAACCTGTCCTGCGACAAGCACACTCTCCTGAACGCGTGCACCAAGCGAGCAATAAATCTACGAATGGTAAGGATCTCAGTCTCCCAGGCTTCAAGACGTGTTGGGTGGGAAATTAGCACGGCTTCCAACCGCGTTATATGAAAAGCAGCCGACTCTGACTGAGAACGCAGAGGCTGAAGCTGATCTTCGACGCACAGTAGACGCGCTTCCATGCATTGCCAGCGCAGAGCGCAGACACGACCACGGAGGTCACCTCACAAATCTAGCACGGACTCATGCTCCCAAAAATTTTGCTGCGGCTCACACCTTGCATCGCCACAACTTGACAGCGATCATGAGTCCACAAACATGCGCTTGAACATGATCAAAATCAACATGGTCAGTAAAGAAGTTGCAAGCATCAAAACTTCACAAAATTCCTGCCAGACAATTTTCCTAATGGCTCAAACCTAAACGTTTGGGGCCCCAACACCAAAACTATAAGGCACAAACAACAAGACATTATCCACTACTACGCGAGGACAAATGGCATAGTTGCCACCCTCTTGCCAGTAGGCGGCATCAAAGTCGGTTCCGTCATCCTCTTCACCGTAGCCATCAGTCTGGCCATCTCACGAGAACGTCTTGCTCCGCAGTCCAGGCTCGTCGGCGGTCCCGGAGAGTTCGCAGATTCACGCATCAGCCGTGATCTCATCCACGATCAAGAGCGCCAAAATAATAGCCAAGCGACTCCCATAAGGAACCGTGTCGATGATGCGCTTGCCTATCAGATTGCCAGGCAGGCCAGGCAGGCGCTTCCGGGCTTCGATAAGCCACAATTTCAAGTTCCTGGCACACTCTTTGCACTTGACTTCCGGCTGTTCTCGTCCCAGCTGGAGGCAGCTGCCATCTTGTAGTCAACATACCGCTTGGCTACTCCGAGGTTGTCCGCGGCGTTCTCCGAGGATGCTGAACGCCTGGGCGGTGGCATAGCCGCCCGTCGAGGGAGGGCAGGTGAATCTCCGGCATCCAGTTGAAAGTCGGAAGGCTCACCAACATTTCGCATTGGCGACAGCACGGCGTTTTGTGAACCAAAAATCACCAGCGTGGTAGCTCCCCACTCTAGTTCCCAAACAACTGGTCCAAAAGTCTTGGCCGGTCAGGCCTCCACCACAAACACAGGTAGATCAGCTCGCTGCCGAGGAGCCGTAAGATGCCTGCCGGTACGCCCAATCACGCAAAGCCGGTGTCAGCTGGGTTGCGCTCCCCCGGACAAGTCCATCCATCCGCCAGGAGCATCAACTGGAGCCACTGGTCGTCACTAGCAGCTCCGCTACCATGTGTGGCCGGATGAAGTGCCGTGCAAAAATACGGGCATTTCCTAAGATAAGACTCAAGGCGCCTTGAGCATGTGCACCTCACTTCTACTGCTTCAGCAGACACGTCCTTCAGGGATCATAGCTCTGGGGCCTAAGTTGGCTACTTCACCTAATCGACACAAATCTTTGGTGACTGAGGGCTGGAAAACATCTGCGCCAAAGACCTAAGGCACGCATGCTGGTGTACGTCGACGATGTATTGATCCTTGGACCTTCGTGGCTTGACAAGTTGACAGGCTTGATCACGTCACAATGGAAGTGTGGACTCCGTGGAGCACATACCCGAAGACCCCTCTGCCCCCCCTTTGAATTTCTTTGGTTCTGAGCTACGCTGCGTGGACGTGATTTGCTCCTCGCCCAAACCAATTACCGGCAAGAGTTGCACAGGACATAGCCTGATATCTCTCCTCAGCAGACATGAGCTCGACCAGTAGGACTTGAGGAGCCGGAAGTACAGTCATGCCAGGGGCAACCTTTGGCAGATCTTTCAGCGTGTCAGGCCGCGCTGGGCGCGGCTTTTTGGGTCGCTTGCGGAACACGTCCTGATGCCATTTTTGCAGTATGACGACTTGCTCAGCTGATGACCAAACGGTTGTTAAGGGGCTTAGTAGGCATCTTTTGGGCTAGCTTGTGGCCACCAAGCATTTGGCACTTTGCTATAACGCAATTTTTCCTGAACAGGGCAGTCCGGGAGCTTTGGCTTCTGCTACTACAACTAGGGCTTGTTGAAGCACAGGTTGACAGCGCCTTCGTTCCTGGATGTGAAAGGTCACAGAAAGCAGTTTTCACCTACGTCCAGGGCGACCTTGTTGCACATTGAAGCTGCCTTTGCAGGAGATGAAGAGGTATGTTGATGACGAGTTCATGTTGAGGCTCAAAACGGTGATCAGCTAGACAGTAAGCTCTTCCGTGAAGCTCGTGATACAGAGTTGGAACAACTTGTTGCTGAGGGTGCAGTTGAAATTGTTGAGGGTCCCCCCTATGATGAGGGCTTGAGACGTAGATTATGAGAGGCCAGCCTGGGTTCAGAGTTTTTTACCGGCCTGGGCCGGACGGTGAGCCGTTGCAGCCTGAAGAGAGAGCTGGGGCGAGCGGCGAGCGGCGAGAGTGTTGAGAGTGAGAGCGAGAGTACTGACTGCTCTTTGCAAGCGCGTGCTGCAGCCAACCGTAGGCCTAGGTATCTTGAGAGCTGAGGGTCCCTTCACCGCCACAGTTGGGGAAAACGGACTTTGGGTCAGGGATGTTGGGGGGGTGCAGCATGCTGCCGTAATGAGAGCCCGAATGCGACCCGGTCTCGTGAACAAAACCCTAAGTCCTCTACGTCTCCTACGTGATGACTGGCCCACACCATTGATCCAACCGCAGTTATGCGTGCTTCAGCACAATGCCTCGCCTTGGGGCCGTCCCGAATCCTCATTGCATCAGCTCACGCCTCACGCATCGTACAACCATGACGACTGGACGAATCGACGCACAGAACTGGAGATTTGGCTAGCCGAGGGCTAGTCAAAGATCCAGTCATGAGAGACGTTTTCCTTTGTGGCACTCGTCAGCTGCATGGGGACAGAGCGTGAAGCACCACATCATGCCGGGGGCAACCCTAGGCCATCGTGTCAGGACATGCAGCGCTCGCTACCTCGCTCCAGGCAAGGCCCCAGCAGTATGGATGACAGCACCTTTTTCTTCATGCGTTGATTGAAATCGAAAAGCGCATCCCTAATTCATGCAAGTGCATGGGGATTTTCTAGAATGATTCGATTGTTTAGGGGTCATGCAAGATTTCTCGATTTACGCGTTGGATGATTGAGCTTGTTGGGATTCTCATATGAGGCTGCTTGTTTAGGATTACAATTCCATTGAGGGCACCCCTGTATGATAGGTGATTGCTAGGAGCATCATGAATAGCCTTCGGTCAGTATAAACACACCACAAATTAAGTGATTTTGGAGTGCCTGTTGGGCCTTACAGCGGGCTCAGTCTGTGAAACGGCTGTTTCAGCTGCCACTTAAGGTTCCTCATAATTAGAAGCATTCAAAATTCCAGATCTCTGCTAAAAGCCTGCCAGGAACACCAAGGCGGACAGCGAGTTCTCGTCGGTGCCCCAACCGCTCATTGCATCGTTCAAGCAGCGGACCCAAAGGTCGACCTCCAGGATTACTAGCATTTGTGCCACTACCAAGTGTTGTTGAGGACATCATTCTAGCACTAGTACTGTGAGCTTTTGGTCAGCCTCCGGCTCCAACAAAGCTTTCATGCAATTTCTCCACTGGCCGGAGAAGAACCAGCCGTCAGACCTAAGTGGATTTCAGGACTGCCCACTGGCGCAAAGGAGTCCAAAAATAGGCGATTTGGTGCAACGCTGAGTCCAGAAAGAAACACAAGAGTGGCGCAAGGGTTAGTTGAACAAACACAGAAGAATCCTCAGACTTTCAGAAACTTCCCAAGACTCCCAAAGATTCTAGAGCGGAACGGTGGCAATCAATATTCTCCCAATCACAAGCATGACGAACATAGGATCAAGGCCATCAACATCATGCTCCACCCCTGCCTCCAACCCCACAGACTGCTGGTGCGGGCGTAATAATGGCGCAGCACATCACCAGCACAGTTGGGAGTCACGTCTGGCTGCCTTGTACGGTTGTTAGTCTCTAGTGCAGTGACCTCAGCCCTCAGCCCCACAGGTAGATACATAACTACCGCAGGTCCTCGAGCAGTACTCAGGCAGTTCTCCTGCTGTGTTCGGCACCATTCCGCCTTAACAAGTTGAAGGCCTTCGAAGAGGCCATGCCTTTGTCTGGAGATCAGGGATGAAGTCTAGTCAAGTCGGTCCAAGCAAGTCCTGAAGCTAATTCCCTTCAACCAGCTCTTCCGCCTGATTCTTTGAGGATGCTCTTGTCTGGGAGTCGGAGATGTGATTAGATATTGGAAGGGTCTCAGGTGCCTTGTCAAAGCAGGGCGAAAAGACCTGAGCTGGATATGGAAGCGCCAGAAAGATAAGATGAAACCCAAAGAAGACGATGACCCTAACGAGAAGTGAGCTGTTGGAGCTTTGAGCCTTTCTAGGCCTACAGGAAGCCACGTGAGACCCAAACTCATGACCGATCTACCTGGCCGGCATCGAACAGCAAGTGTGGCAGTGTGGCGTGTGAACAGGCCGTCTGACGATTTAATGTGCTTGTCGGTCGGTCGTAAAGCGGATGCCTCGTGAGAACAGGTATCCGCCTTGGGTCGCCAGTGTTCAACCGCATGGAGGGTTGGAAGGATAAGAACGGGATCTGGGGCTGTGCTTGGTGCAGCCAAATCCCAACAACATCTTGCAAAACGCTGAGGAGATCGTGGATGATGTATCTGCTAATCGCAAAACAAGGCAATGTCCGTCCTCCATTGAAATGACAACTTCGGTGGCAGTTGGGTGAATGTGCGTGCGTGTGCGCACACGAATTGCCTGGACGTTTCTCAGCACGGCCCCAGCGCAAGGATGCCGCCAAATCCATTCTATAATGTACGACAGCATGCCTTGCTACCTGACCTTCCCAGTAGCCAAGCTGCCTGCAGGAATAGAAGCTGCAGAGTGCCCGAAAACGATTTGACATGTGCCCCTTGATATGCGTGAAGTTGTGAGACATTGCCGAATGCACCTGATACATAGTCCACACCCAGGCTTTCTGAGCACTGCTGGGCTTCAAACTCAGCGGCCGCTTTCTCGACGATGATTTCGCTCAGGTTTCCTGCAAACGCAGCTTTGCATTTCCAGCGCAGAACTCAGCACAAACTCGGCCAGGCGGCCAGGTGGGTTACTTCATGCCCGGCGTTTGAGGGGTTCTCTGGACAGCCATGGCATGACAAGTGCTCCAATCTACAAAGCTACACAAAGCCCCGAATTCAGAAACAAATAGCATGGTCCTGATTTCAGATTCTCTGCGTACTGGGAGACCATGCCTTGGACGGTCCTGCTATCGATGGTGCCCAATACCTGTGTGCAGTCACTACAACTCCGGCATAGTTCCTGAAAACGTCTGTGAGCCCCATGACCATGATCCCCAGAAGAATACCGTCCCATATATACATATACATATATATACATATATAACACGCCTCATACAATCCTTTACTGTCCGCAACTTTGCGGTGAGCACACTTTGCCGTAGAGTACTACAGGTGCATTTTTTGAATACGCTGCTGATGAAAGCTGAGGCAGGATGCTTTCGCCATCCTGTTAGGCATTCATGGCATCTTTGATAGAAAGTCAGGTTGCAATACTCGCGCTAATGAGTCATAAAGCGTCTGACTGCGACATCCGCCCATCCACCAGACTTTTCAGTTTCTGCTCAAACGTCCATCCAGCTTGTGGCTTCGGGCTTCATGCATTGTCCATCAGATTACGCATCTTTTTCCGGGTCCTCATATTAAGGCTAAAAATGCTTTTGGAGCTTGCCTGGTGACTGGAGAAACACCAAACAAAACATAGTTTTGGTGCCTCAACGAGGCATGCCCCCTCATGCACGGCATCATAGCATCTCTGCGCGATGTTTCCTCAGATGTCAAAAACCTCATCCTAGTCCTAGCCCAGGTAGCACCTGAGCTTCAAATTGGCAGACCTAGCGGCGAAATACCCTGATGAACAGGTCATGTACGAGTTTGATGCTAAGGTCTCAGGAAAGGCGAATTAGAACTCAAGAATGCCTGCAGGATGCTCCTCCGCGCAAAGCATCAAGCCAAGTGTCACAACACAAGAAACAATGATCATGCGAAGTGTGATTACGTAACATAACAGCAGCAATGATAGGGATGCAAATGGTAAGAATCATCATCAGGGTGTCATGCCATTTCCATTCAAACCGCTCTGCTGGGGAGTCCCACGGGGCGCAACTCCTAGTAAACTTCATCCGGAAATCTGGGGCACCCGTGCGCCTCCTAACCATAACATTCCCAGCCCATAAGCCTCCGGAATTGAGATCCGTAAAGTTCTCGAACTCAAATCCCCAGCTACTGATGATGTTTATCAATATGATATATGGGCGCGAACCCCGCATACCCTTGGATATCCAGAATCCAGAGGCTCAGAAGGCTTTTGAATAGATCTAAGGAGCCCAGGACCTCCGCATGGTTCAGCTCCTCTTCCGACATGCCACCAGCATCTGCCCAGGCAGCGAAGGACGGAAAGGGTATGTTGCCCGTGCATGCCTTCGACGGGTTTGCTGGATGTTTGAAATCCAGAATGTGTGGTTAAACGTCTAGTTTGGGATCTGGGATTTATGTTGTTAGGGTGCGGACGTTGGGTGTGCAGGGGCGTTTAATGGCTGTCAACAACTTGTTGCCATGTACTATTCCTTTGTGCCTGACTGACCAGCCTCAGCGTCAGTGGACAGGAAAAAAAAAAGCGCTGTGGAGATCTTTTTCCAAACCCATGCGTCATTATGCTTAATTTGAGAGGCGTCTTGCGTTCGCAGCTGCCACACTCACACCCTGCTTAATTTGTTTTTAAAGTCCTGGAAATACGTAAAAGCCTCTTCTGTCTTTGCCTATGCCCTCAGGAGGGAGCTCCAGAAAGGAAACATTAGGTCCGTATGTGAAGGTTCGGGAAAATACATCATGTATCATGTGCGGAAACAAGGTGGATCATTGGGAGTCTTGACAAAATGTGAACCCCTTGCTTGGTGTTTATGCGACGCTTTGACTTGAATCGGCTTCATCTTCTTCCGAGGGAAGGTGTAGGAGGATTATACACTTGCTGAATACAAGTCTTAGGGCGCGCATACCCATTATGGAAACACATCTGACAAAGTTCAACAACTGCAGCACAGCTGTTGATCAGAATCGAGCCATTAGAAATGCGTTGCAGGTTTGGGATGTTGCCCTGCCAGTCATCGCCAACAGGCAAAAAAAGTGGGTGACGGTAAACAAGGTTCGGGGGCACTGGGCCCTGATGTTAATACTGTGCAGCAGGAGAGACGTAAAGTCACTCGCATGCCTCAAGGTATGCTGCACTTTGAGCTGCTTCCCTGAGGACTGGGCTGGATCAGCGTTTGCCATGATCTCATCAACTTCTTCCACGCTTGGCTCAGCGCCTCTGATGAGCGAAAGCATCATGTCAATCTCGCTCTTGCTGATAGTTCCGTTTCCGTCCAAGTCAAAAGCTTGGAATTGCAACCTGCGTGCCACTTCCGTTGTGGAGGCATCCAACACAGCCTTCTTGAGAACTGTGAGAGTCTGCGGCTCACGTCTCTGCCATCTCTTAGCATACAAGTTGCTGTCCTCGAAATACCTGCAAGCGAAACAAGAACCTTGAAAAGTTTGCAGCTCAAACCCTGCGAATCTCTTCGAACACCTCATCTTAGATCTCTTCACAACACACCATGTAATCTTTAGCAAAATCTTTTGTCGCGTTCCATATGACTTCTGTAGACTTTGTTTATACCGCTGAACAGCCCGATAGTGTTATAACGCCATGGGCTATACGCGACATGCTTGCCAAGACATTTCATACGGATTAGCCTGTACTCAACGTAGTTGTGCAGCCAAGTCTGTAAGTACACCGTGTCCCGATGTCTCATTTCCATAGGTCGACCCTGTTTGAAGAAGCCGAAAAGTTGGCCGGATGAGTTCTCGTCCTCCAGAAAAATCTATGGGAAGGATGTCTTCTTCGGAATTCCATGGTTACGTTACAACTCCTAGACAAAAAAAAAAGTATATGCACTGAAAACAGGGCTTGTCGTCCTTGTCTGCCAAGGCCAGTGGGTTCGTGTCCGTCGCGCCTTCGAGATACTTGCCAGTGTCCAAGTGCTCCAAGAAGACATCATCACCATCTTGGCAAAAGGCATTTGTTCCGTCTCGCCGCCAAGCCCGGAAAATGCATGAGCTCTTCAACTCCTTGTCGTTGGCCACCACACTGCCATCTTCTTGGCCTTCAACAGCAGACTCCGAGTAGGTGAATACCAAATAAACGTGATCACCACCTTGGATTTGTGGTGCCACCGCAGCTTCGTCGAAGCGCACAAACGGCAGAAATCTTGGCCCCTTCGGCCGAACAGGATCGCCTACGCATTTCAGAAGCAGTACTCTCCCTGGATACACCAGTCAAAAAAGCCACAGCACGGTATCCACGGCAACAGACCAGCTAATTGATGCGTCACAGCTATCACGATAATCATCCAACAGTAACAGTCGTTGTGATCGCCGTCGGCAAAAGTGTATCATTGCTTCATTCATCGTCTAATGGTTTTACTATTCCTTCGTCCTGCATGTATTGCAAGTAGCTTCAAAAAGCTAACCAACACTGCAGTAACAAATGATTTTGCATCAATATGGAAATACCAGTCAAAAACATATATATATATATACAAGCCAACAACAGAAATAACCATGAAGTTCATACTGACCTTCATAATCGTGCTAGTGCACAACACCTACTGCCGCTATAGGCTAATTCTGCTGTTCCTGAGCTTGCTCCTGCTTCTGCTCCTGCTGCGGCTGCTACTGCTGCTACTGCTACTGTTGCTACTTCTATACTTCACGGCGTGTGCTACTGCTACTGCTGGTACTGCTACTGGAACCACCTACTTCAAATATTTCGTGTTCTAATAATAGCTCTATTGCCACTGCAACCAGAAATGCAAATCCAAACAATGAACAGCACATAGCAATAAACATCTTAATTTCACACTTTGGCTGAACAACTGCCTTCGTACGTGACAACGGCGGAGGAAAGACAGCAGCCCATGGCCCCGCAACCGACGAAAGCACAAGGAACAGTTCATGCTGCAGGGCCGTCGCAGCTGCACGGTTGCGAGATCAGGTGCTTATGAGCTGGGAGTTGCACAGACATCAAAGTCCATCCTTCGATTTTTGCAACTGTGTGTTGAAGCTATGTGTTTTACATTTGTATCCACAACCAACCAGTGCATAATCAGCACTTCATCGCATCAAAAATATTCCAAAAATCGGATTTCAATAAGCTCATCACATGTGATTCCCAAATCCTCAAACGCACCTGCACGTACAAATGGATTTCATAGGCTCAACCAGCTTTTTTGCACGGTGGAACTGCAAGCCTGGGTCATCTTCGGGCGCTCGTCTTCGTGTTCACTAGTAGAAAATGGCACAACGCAACTATTTCTACTGATTTTTTGTTTGGAGCGCACAGCTTCTGGACTCTATGGCCAACGGGGCTCTGCAAGTGCCTCGCACGGGGCCAACACCGGGCGCAGCAGCATGGGTCCTGCAACACTGTACATCTTCAGACCTCCACTCACTAGCCTGCAACTTAGGCAGTGAAGCCACTTTGATGTATGGTCGGTTGTAATTTGGTTCAAGCCTCCCCTTGCTAGATAATTAAGCAATGGGACTATTTAGCTATACGCCATTTACGATTGGCCAACATCGACGACCAAGCGGAGCTTTGATGACTGCCTGAGTGAGAACAAAAGTGCAAAGCAAGGGTGCCAGCTCTGGAGTGGGATTGCAATACTTTCACCCAGTCGCCCATTTACAGGTTAGCAGCCGTAGACGCTGCAAGCGTGGTCTACCATGTTGTCAGTGGATGGTAGTTCAGGCTCCGCCAGTACGAACCAAACGGCAACCTTTGCTTTTTTATGAGTGACACCGCAGAGGAGGCGCCAGCGGCGCCGGCCCGTGGTGTGACGATGAAGAACGATCCAGAGAAACTGGGGACTCCCACCCCGAAGGAGAGAAATACACCTGGTTCGTCCAGGCGTCCCAGATCTCCATTTCTTCTCGTATTCTAGGCAGGGGACTGCATTTCCGAGACGCAAGACTTCGGTCATTCAGAAGGCCAAGTCAAGTCCAAAGGCCATTCAGCGAGCCCGCGAGAGGAGTAGCTCTAGATTGATAAAGAGGAAGGGAGTGTCTACGAATGAAAATGGGATCTACCAGCTCCTCGGAGTATTGGAAACGCTGGCTTGGTTCGCCTACCAGCAGATATGCTACATGAGGGCACTGGTGGATTGAATCTTGAGCAGGCTAGCTCATTCTGAAAAGGAAGCTTACATAGCTCTCCAGAACTAGGCCTTCACGGACACCGCTGGTCTCAGGATGCACCTTGAGACAGAAGAACAGCAACGCAGAGGATCAGCAGAAAGGTTCAACAGTTGGACCGCTGGAGAGCGGTTTCAGAACTACAAGCACAACACATGAACACAAAGTATCAAAATGACACGCAATAGAGAAATGCATGGATGGCTGACCTGAGAACGAAAGACAAAGCACGTGATCAGCATCTAGTCAGCGCTGAGGCGGAAGTTCGAGATCTCCGAGAGAAATCCTAGGCTTGATGCGTTGCGGGAGCAAACAATGCATCAAATTATGGAGGACTTGCGTAAGGCCGTTTCTGGTTTCCGTGCTTCGGAAATGCGTTGGTAGGGCTGGTGTTGAGCAACAAGTTGCTGCGCAGGCAGCAATGGTTTCCCATATTGAACATCGAGTTCATGAGGAGTGCGCAGCTATTTGTCAGCAAAGGCAAATGCATGATCTCGAAATCCATCAGAAACTTGAAAGATTGAGGAATACATGTGACAGGAACCACATGGACTTCCTCAATGCGACCAAGCGTGCTGGGGCCCTCAAGAGAGAGCTCGCGCGAAAGGATGAACACATCGCCCAGTTGCAGCAATCCCTTGAACAAGCCAAGAGCGTGCCTTTTGTGAGTTCCTGGCAGTTCTGTGGGCTTGCACTGCTCCCAGCCTCAACACTCGACCACTACAAGAAGCAAAAGGGCTCAGCTCCCTTTTCCTCTGGGTTGCTCTGAGTGTTGCGCAAAGGGGGCTTGAAAGGCTCGGGACTTCAAACCCAGCTTCCCTTTCGTTCTACCCCCTGTGAAAAGCAAAAACCAGAGGCTCTGGGCTGAACTGACGGATCAGGCTTTTGTGAAACTAAGGTAAGAACTGAACTCGGCGGGCTCAGGCTGACCTAGAGGGGTCAGACTTGGGTTAGCACCAGTGCGTCCCAAACATGGGTGCTTGTGCTTGAATGAGGCCCTGGCGAGGGCTTGTGATGGGCTCTGCGGGCCCTACGTGCCTGAAGCCAGCGGGCTGTTAGTAGACAGGCTGAAGGAATGACTTAAAGGCTGGCGAGCCTGAGGCGTACAGCTCAGACAGCGGGCTGGAGCAGGTGTGTGAAACTGAAAGAAAGGCTAAAAAGCTGAGGCCGGCTCACTGCGTGTTTGCAACCTGGGCGTCAGGGCTTGAAGCTTATCCTTCCACTAACAGGGTTGGGAGGGCGGGAAAAGCTTTGTTAGGTAGAAAGTGGGCTACAGTCTTGGCCTAGGAGCAGTAGTGGCAGCAGACATGCAAGAGGTTCACAACACCACACAAAACACAAGAGACCAAAATCAAACACTTAGCGTTCAGTGGGCTTGCACTGCTCCCAGCCTCAACACTTTACCACTACAAGAAGCAAAAGGGCTCAGCTCCCTTTTTCTCTGGGTTGCTCTGAGTGTTGCGCAAAGGGGGCTTGAAAGGCTCGGGACTTCAAGCCCAGCTTCCCTTTCGTTCTACCCCCTCTTTAGTGACTCAGAGCAACCCTGTCCCTGCGGAAGGCTGCGGCCGAGAACCCCCTTCCGCGTGAGGGTTGCTTGCGCAGGAACTAAGCTGAGGCTGCGGCTCTCCCGAGGCTGTCAAGCAAGGAACGCCTAAGCAACTGAAAACGAAGGCCTGCCAGGCAAGCTGTGGACTTCTATGCGCAGGCGGCCTTTTGCTCGCGGCGGATTGGTTGTGGCCTGGGCTCAGGCGCAATCAGAAAGGCTCTGCCGGCACGCAGGCGGACTGGATAAGCGCTATGCTGCTGTGTAGGCAGGCTGGCAGACGGTGGTCCCTGTTTTGCGTCTGCCTGAGGGAGCTGCTCAGGTGACTGCGTCTACAAAATTCTCCCGCCACCTTGCGTGGGGGGGATGCAACGTGATGCCTTTTGGCTGGCACAGCTGCTGCAATGCGAAGCTGAAGCGGGCTAAGGGCTTCGAGCGAAACCTGTCGAGCTTGTCCCTGCTGAGCTCGTCTGCCCAGACATTCTTTTTCCCTGAGACGTGGGAAACTTGCAAGGCTACTGAGCGGGCGCGCGACCAGCAGGCTACGAGGGGAAGGAAGAGGCTGAGCGGCCAGGCTGTGGAGAAGAGCTTGTTCACTCCTGCTTCCTAGCGGGGATGTTGTAGAGGGTGCCTGGTGAGCTGTTGGGCTCTTAAGGCACACGAAAAGGACCACTAGGAGGGCTAGCTGCAGGTCTTTGCGGAGCCGCCAGGAGGTCATCCACGTAGAGCCATTCTGTATGGGGCTGCTGGGCCAGCATTTGGTGTGCTACGCGAAGCAGCAAGGCTCCAACCAGTAGGCTGAGAAGCGGGCTCCGAAATGGCAAACTACATAGCTGCCTCTGGAAGGCTGCAGTTGGGATTGACTTGACAGACCGTGCTGTCTAGCACTAGGCGCGGGTCTTTGCCGGGGGCTTCGACAAGGTTGAGCCAATTGCCGTGGCTGAGCCATCGGACTTGTGCTGTCTGCCTGCCGCCTGAGTCTTGTCTGTGAGGGCTTGAACGACGGATGGCCTGGATTCTGCCGCCGACCAGTTGCCCTCACACATTTCCAGAGGCATGAAATCCTGACGGCTG